TTTCATTTTAGTTAAAAAGTCAAAAAATTATTAAATTAGTTAAAAAATTAATAATTTATATTAAAAAGTTAAAAATTTTCTTTTCTCTTTACTTTTTGTATATCTTTTTGTAAAATGTTAAAAAATTATTTCAAACATATTATTTTTTTTAACTCATATTTTAACTAAATAATTAAAAAAATTATTAAATTAACCTGTTCCCAAACGAGGCTTAGTCTAAAATATCTAGATCACGTGATCAACGAGGAAACTTGCACATTACTCTTTGTTCTGTCAAGGAGACTTGAGGAAGACATTGAACACGTACAAAAACAACAGTCTAATAGAGCATTAGCATTCACCTCCAACACGTTCTCAGAACACCACCCTCCTACTCTCCTCATGGAAGGAGAAGAAGAAGTAGGCCAAACCGAGACGACCACTGAGTCGACTCGCCATCCGAGCTGAGAGGGGAGATTTGCACCGGTCAGTACGGCCGAGCTACGGTAACGCGGGTATGGCAAGCCTCTCGGTGCCGAGCTATCTCCTCAATCGGCACGGCCCTCCGGCCTATTTACACGGTCGGGCTAGGTTTGCCGACCAGGCATGCTCTAAGGCCTGGCCGAGCTGTGGCTGTGAGGCGTTCGGCGGTAGGCGCGCATTGTCACGGCGCGACCGAGAAGATGACAGTCCGGAAAGAGTCTAGGCCGGGAAGAGGTCGGCGTGCGCCCGACCGGATAGCTCGGAAGCTCGGTCGTGTTCTTTGTGGTTGTGATTTTCTCCAAGGAATAGGCCGGTCTTGGTATGCCGGTCAAGTGTGTCACTTGAGCCAATGGCGTGAGGGAGAGGATATCTGCTCCAGGCACGCATCAGTACTGTTTGGCAGTTTTGCATATACTGGATGGAGGATTTGGCCTTTACACGTGTAAGGTGGTGGGAGGCGAGCACAGCCAACTGTCCAGGGAAGGACAGCAGAGGTAGTGCGTGCACACTCCTGAGGCTGCATGGCCAGCCCAGAAAAAGGAAGGGAGAATGAACGTTGGAGTTAAGAAACTTGCACTATCTGAAATACTCTCTCTCTCTCTCTCTCTCTCTCTCTCTCTCTCTCTCGAATAGCCTCCTTCTTCCTCTAGTGATCTGACTTGATCGTCGAAGGGTCTATCCGGAATACCACCGCCGGGCAGCTCACCATTCTCTGTGTTGTCAGGTTAGACGCCGTCACGTGAAGCTTGAACTCCAAGGAGTACGGAAAGTAGAGGTTATTTCGCCCCCGTACAATTGGCGTCGTTTGTGGGAAGTTCTTTGATACTCAAACCTTGTTTTTCAAGCTTCCTCAACCATCTCCATGGCCAACAACAACGAAACTCCACTGTCCGTCATCGATAGCGTCACACCATAGTCTGTCCGACAGAGAGAAGGCCCCTCGAATGTTCCGGCCACGGCGGGCCTAGAAACCTCTTCGCGAGGTGCGCGAGACAAACGCGGAAGGAGTACTAATCGCTCGAAGAGCCCAGAGGGCCGTCGGCGGTGGAAGGATTCCCATGCGCAGCACCTGGAGCACAAACTCAAAGACCAAGACGCCATCATTCGCAAGATGGCGGCGGAGATGGAGATGCTGAAACGTCAGATCAAGGGGAAAGGTGTTGCTGGAGAGGGCAACCTCAGTGAGCGCACCCCGTTCCCTCGTTCTAGCAGTCGCCGCCAAGAGAGGACCCACTCTCTCTCCATCACCAGGAACTATGGGGTTGGAGATTCTGACCGAAGGGAGGGCAGATCCCTCACTCAAGACAGCACATACCGTCCCTCACGCCATTCTCTGACGTCATGATACTCTTTCTCCACCCGTTCCAGAGACCTGAGGGATGTATTGAAGAAGAGGGCGTGCCGCCGAGAGGCTCAGAGAGTGCCGGCGTGGCAGAGATTGAGCGCCCCCATTCACTGTAGCGAAGAAGTGGCGATGCCAGCGCCCAGAGTGATGGCCCATGCGCCAGTGGGCAAAGAGCTGGCGAGACTTACAGCCACGCCGTTGTCTCCGGAGATCGAGAGTACACTACTTCCTGCCGAATTCCACCAGTCTAAGTTCACCTTGTACGATGGAAAAATGGATCTGTACATGCACGTGAGTCATTACCGGCAAGTAATGGCTGGCCACTGGCGCAATGACGCCTTGATGTGCCTCATATTCCCAGCAAGCTTGGGAGAACTGGGCCTGAAGTGGTTCGAAAGGCTTCCAGAAGGGAGTATAGAGGGGTGGCAGCAACTAGCGGAAGCCTTCGTCACCAGATTCAAAACCAACACTCGAACGCCGAAGGAGGTCGATCATCTTCTGGGCGTCAAGATGGAGTCAGGGGGATCATTGAAGGCATACAACGCGAAGTACTGGGAAACTTACAACGAGATCCTCGACTGCCCTACCAATCCGGTGATCACTCAATACAAGCGGGGTCTCCCAGTCGGGCATAGGCTGCGGGACTCGCTCACGATGCACCAACCCACAACCATGGAGTCCTTGATACAGCGGATCAATGAGCACATTCGTGTGGAGGATGATGCCGCCTCCGCGATCGAGAAGGTTAATCCGGTCGCAGCGGACAGAAGGGTAGCAGGGAAAGTTCACTTGGTCAGGCAGGAGGATAACCGCCCAAGCGACCGGCCAAAAGATCAACGACGTGGCCCAAACCGCGATGACAGAAACAAGGGTCGCAGAAACGATCGAGCTGATGCTCCCCGTGATGCAGCGGAGGATGCTAAGAGAAAATTGAAGGTGCGGACTGGAATCACCACAGTCTTTAAAATCCCTATCTACCGCATCTTGAGTGAAATCAGAGGCGAGCCTTTTGTTCATTGGCCGGCCAAGTTGGGGAATGCACAGAGAGGCTTCAACTGAAGGTATCGCTACACCTTCCATGAGGAACGGGGACACCGAACGGAGGACTTCTTGCCGCTCAAACAACATTTGGAAGAGCTAGTGGCCACGGGACATCTTGACCAATACATAGATGGGGGTATGAAAGCCGTGCCATTGGGGCAAACCGAGCCAAACGGCCTAGCGGCCCTAGAGGCAACACCCCAAAGTGTAATCAACGTCATCCATGGCATCGTTGAACCAGCAAGGGTCTGCGAGCTCATAGGGATGATTAAAAAAGCCGAGCACATGAGGGAAGTGCTCTCCGTTCGGCCCGCTGTAAAGAAAGGGAAGACCGAGGAGAAGGACATTCTTACCTTTTCGAGCAGGGACTTGGAGCGGATCCAGATGCCCCACAATGACGCCCTAGTGGTAACTCTTCGCGTCAAAGACTTTGACATCAAGAGGATCTTGATCGACCAGGGAAGTTCGGTCGAAATTATGTACTATGACACGTTCAAACAAATGAAGTCGGAGAACAAGGACTTGGCCCCTGCGACGTCCCCTTTGGTTGGCTTCAACTCTCAGCCAGAGTGGCCGGTAGAGAAGATCACACTGCCGGTCAAAGCGGGTTCAGTAACAAAGCAAGTAGAGTTCTGGGTGCTCAAAGTCCCATCCACCTACAACTTAATTTTAGGCAGGGGCTGGTTGCACACCATGCAAGCAGTAGCATCGACTTACCATCAGGTCTTGAGTTTTCCGGCGCCAAACGAACAAATAGAGGAAGTTTAGGGAGACCAGGTGATGGCGAAACAATGCTTCGTTGCGGTAAATAGCAGCCAAGTAGCTAAAGGATTTGTCCAAATGATTGAGGGACCCGAGGGAAATGAGGTCCTTGACGACGTAGGAAGAAAGGCCGAGGAAAAATCGGTCGAGGATTTGGTGGAAATGCGCGTTGACGAGAATGACCCACCTAAGTTCTTCTTCTTGGGATCGTCTTTGACTAGCACCGAGCGGTTGGATTATGTTAACTTCTTGGTCTCCAACATGGAGGCTTTTGCGTGGACGCCTTACGATATGCCTGGCGTTGACCCTAACTTCATTTTCCATCAGTTGAACGTCTTCCCAAACGCGCGGCCAGTCATTCAGAGGACTCGCCGCTCGGCTCTGTACCATGCCGAGGTAGTGGCAGAGGAGGTCAAAAATCTGTTGGAAGCGGGAACGATAGAAGAAGTGCAATACCCTCGTTGGATATCCAACACGGTGGTGGTCCCGAAAAAGAATGGCAAGTGGCGAGTCTGTGTTGACTATAAGATAGTTAACCGTGCATGCCCAAAGGATAGCTTCCCCCTCCCTCGAATTGACCAGCTGGTGGACTTGACCGCTGGCCATCAGAGGTTTAGCTTCCTGGATGCATATCGCGACCACCACCAGATAGCCATGTATAAACCGGACCAAGAGAACACGTCGTTCACTACTCCTAGAGGCCTGTATTATTATAAAGTCATGCCGTTCGGACTGAAGAACACCGGGGCAACTTTTCAGAGGATGGTGACAAAGATGTTCGCTCCTCTTTTGGGCCGAACAATGGAGGCCTACATCGACGATATGGTGGTAAAGAGTAAGGAGAAGTCTCAACACCTCGTCGACCTAGCAGAAATGTTTGCCATACTTAAGAGCCACAAACTTCATTTGAATGCCTCCAAGTGCGCCTTCAGAGTCGGCACCGGGAAGCTTCTGGGGTTTTGGTCACAAACCGAGGGATTGAAGCTGACCCATCACAGATCAAGGCTATACAAGAGCTGGAGTGCCCAAACTCCACGAAGGACGTGCAACATCTTGCTGGGATGGCAACTGCGCTGAACAGATTCATCAGCCGGTCTTCAGATCGTTGCAGGCCCTTCTTTAAAACTTTGAAGGCCAAGTTCTTTTGGGATGACGAATATGACCATACACTGGCAGACTTAAAAATATACCTTTCCTCTGCCCCTATCTTAGTCACACCTCGGCCGGGCAAAGAATTGTATCTCTACTTGGCTGTCTCTCAACATGCTGTAGGCGTTGTCCTAGTCCGCGCTGAATGCATCCAGCACTTGCCAATCTTCTATGTGAGCAAGACTTTTCTCCCGGCCGATACGAGGTATCTTCCGCTGGAAAAATTAGCGCTGGCCCTGATGATGACATCAAGAAAGCTGGTGCACGATTTTCATGCCCAAACAATAGTTGTGTTAACCGAGTTCCCGCTTAAGGTGCTTTTTGAAAAGGCAGACTTCACTGGAAGAATTTTGAAATGGGCCGTGGAATTGAGGCAGTACGATATCAAGTTCCGCCCGCGCACTGCAATCAAGGCTCAAGCTCTTGCAGACTTTGTGGCGGAATTCGCCCCTGGAACGCATCCAGTTTGCCCGGTTGATTTGGCTGGTGCGGATTTAGCACAGCCCATGGTTCTGGCGATAGAAACGAGTGTTGGCTCAAAAGCGAGAGAAGGCCGAAGAGCGACCGCACTAGAAGAGCCGGGTGACTTCTTGGAAGACGTGCTCAATCAAGGCAAGGAAAGAGACCAGAATGAACCGATCAGAGACTTGGAATTGAGAAGCTCCCAGAACCCCTCTGATTGCTGGAAACTGTTTATTGGCGAGATGTGGAAGCTCTTCGTTGATGGGGCATCCAACAGGCATGGAGCCGGGCTGGGTATCGTACTGACTTTACCGGATGGGCTGATTATCGAGCAGGCAATTACGCTCGGCTTCCCAGCATCCAACAACGAAGCGGAGTATAAAGCCCTCCTTGCTGGGCTAAGAAGCGCATTGAGAATGAAGGCGTCAGCCCTGATGGTATTCAGCGATTCCAAGCTGGTGGTCAATCAGGTCTCGGGGGAGTATAAGGCAAAGGACGAAAGAATGGCCAAGTATCAGGCGCTGGTACGCGCAGAGATCAAGAAGTTTGTTGCAATAAGGATGGAACAAATCGACCGCGAAGAAAACAGCGCGGCTGATGAATTGGCCGGACTTGCTTCTGCTCAAACAGCTTTTCCTAACCCCTTGATGATAGAATTTTTACCTCGGCCAAGCATTGAGGAACCGAAAATGACCAAGGTGCTCTGCGCCGACTTGGGTCCTTCCTGGATGGACCCCATCATCGCCTTCTTGAAAGATAGAGTTCTACCAGAAGAGAAGAAAGCGGCCAACAAGATCCAGGCCAAGTCAGAGCGGTTTTGGCTCTCCCCGTCCGGAGCCTTGTATAAGAAGTCTTTTACCGGGCCGTATCTGAAGTGCGTTCACCCTGCTAAGGTGGAAGCCTTCCTTTATGAGATCCATGAAGGCATCTACGGCAGCCATACTGGGGGTAGGTCACTGGCTTACAGAGCAATTTCCCAAGGTTATTGGTGGTCGTGCATGCAGGCAGACACCCAGAAATACATTCGCCGATGTGAAAAGTGCCAAAAATTTGCTCACCAGATCGACCAGCCAGCGAGAGAATTGTTTCCCCTTACAAGTCCTTGGTCGTTCGCACTCTGGGGATTGGATATAGTGGGGCCACTCCCAGTAGCCCCGGGCAATCGCAAATTCTTCATCGCCACCACCGATTACTTCACAAAGTGGGTTGAGGCTGAGCCACTGGCGACCATAAAGGAAAAGGATGTGAAGAAGTTTGTTTGGCAAAATGTTATCACTCGCTTCGGTATACCCAAGGCTCTCATCTCAGATAATGGCACTTAATTCGATGGGAAACTCTTTCGCGGATTTTGCGAAGAGCTGAAGATCGAATTCTATAATTCAACGTCGGCCTATCCGCAGTCAAATGGTCAAGCAGAGGCCTCAAACAAGACCATCCTGGACGGGCTGAAGAAGCGGCTTGAGAAGGCCAAGGAGAAGTGGGCTGAAGAACTCCCTAGCGTGCTCTGGGCGTACCGCAGTACGCCAAGACGGTCGACTGGAGAGACTTCGTTTGCCTTGGCCTATGGCATAAAAGCCGTTATCCCGCTGGAAATTGGCATGCCAACCATCCGATCTGAAAGCTTCCAGCCAGATTTGAACAATGAAGCAGTGGCATTGGAGCTAGACCTTGCCGAGGAAAGGAGGGAGCGGGCCCTAATCCACATAGCGGCCTATCAGCAAGAACTCTCCAAGAAATACAACAAGGCTGTGCACCCCAGGCTATTCAAGATCGGGGACTAGGTCTTAAGAAAAGTGCTGGGCAACACGGTGGTCCCTGGAAAAGGAAAGCTCGGTGCAAATTGGAAAGGACCATACCAGGTGACTGGTCTCGCTGGTAAAGGGGCATACCATCTGGAAGATTTAGATGGCAAAGCTGTCCCCGGACCGTGGAATGCAGCCAACCTTAAGATCTTTTACTTTTAAAATGTAATTGCTTAGCTTTTTCGACCTTTAGCCTTTTGGCATTTGATGTAAAGATAGCACTGCTTTTTGTAATGAAAAATAGCCCTCTTGTTGTTTTGTATCGCATCTTTCCATACAATGACACCGCAAGGATACAAGGCCACTGCGGATGCCAGGGGCAAAGGGACCGACCTGAATGGGACCGGACTAATCTTCTCTCGCTGGTATAGAAGCGGACCGCACCAATAGTGGTGTATTATTGTCCAACGAAATGATTGGTGTATAAAACAATTCACGTAAGGGCCGAGCTGGTTTTTCGCTCGCCCAATTGGGATGTTGGCGTCATAACCGACCTAAATGAAATATTGGTGTTTTGCCCAATGTTAAAGCCGAGCTGATTCTGCTCGGCCAAAATGAAATGTTGGTGTTGTCCAACAAATAATAGCCGAGCTGACTTTGCTCAGCCAAGCGCTATGTTGGTGCCTTGTCCAACTTACAAGAGGCCGAGCTGACTTCGCTCGGAGAAAGGAAATGTTGGCGTTCTATCCAACTCCATGTCGGAATATTGGTGTTTTGTCCAATTTAATGGCCGAGCTGGTTTTGCTCGGCCGAAACGAAATAACTGAAATTTGTCCAGCTTCCTTTAGAGTCGAGCTAATTTTTGCCCGCTCAAATAAAAGACTTGAAGTGTTGTCAAAGCCA